TGTACAGCAGACACATTTCTGGAGTACCCATGTCAGTGTCCCTGTCCCTGTCCCTGTCCATGAGTGCGCAGTGGGACCTGCTCCTTTCCCTGACTGGACTTCCCCAGGGAGGAGATGCTGCCACTTCTCCTGCCACTCTCTGCAGTTTCACCCCACGGTGCTTCCCAACACCGGAGCTCTCTGTCCTGTCTTACACTGCGCCTCCTCTCACACGGGGGTTCTGCAGCTCCCTGAGGGCCTGTTTATAGAATCATAGAATATTAAGGGGTTGGAATGAATATTAAAGTTCATCTAGTTCCAAACCTGGGCCGTGTGCAGGGACATCTTCCACTAGACCAGGTTGCTCAAGGCCTTATCCAACCTGGCCTTGAACACTTCCAGGGATGGGGCATCCACAGCTTCTCTGGACAAGCTAAGTCAGTGCCTCACCATTCTCATGGTAAAGAACTTCTTCCTATTATCTAACCTAGGTTTCCCCTCTTTCAATGTGTGCCTATTATTCCTTGTCCTATCACTACAGTTCCTGACAAAGAGTCCCTCTCAAGCTTCCCTGTGGGCTCCCTTAGGAGACTGGAAGGTTGCAACGAGGAAAACCTTCTCTTCTCCGGGCTGAACAGCCCCAACTTCCTCAGCCTGTCTTTGTAGGGGACGCGTACCAATCGTCTTATCAACTTCGTGGCCCCCTCTGGACTTGCTCCCACAGTTCCATGGCCTCCTTATGTTGCGGACACCAGAACCGTACACAGCGCTCCGGGTGGGGTCTCACAAAAAGACAAGGAGCGCTCCAAGCCGCGGGGGCTGCTCCGAGGTCCCAGGAGGACGGCGGGGTCGGCACGGGGGGCAGTGACCGATCCCCGGGAGGGCAGATACCGATCCCTATGGGGATCAGAGGCCGATCCCCAAAGGACGGCGGGGTCGGCCCAGGGGTAGGGACCGATCCCCGGGAGGGCAGGGAGCGATCTCCATGGGGATCAGGGGCCGACTCCCCGAGGACTGCAGGGTTGGCACAGGGGCAGGGGCCGATCCCGGGAGGGCAGGGCCGGTGCCTGCCCCGCGGCCCCCGCACACGCCGGGCGGGGGGCGGGACCTTCCGGTTCATGTCGGCGCTGGGCTGGCGCGGAGGAGCCGCGCGGCCATCTTGGCTCGTCCGGGAGCGGCGGCGGGGCGGGCGGGGGGCAGGCGGGGAAGGAGGGAGCGGCGGGCGGGCACCGAACCACCCGGCACCCACCCAGCGTCCGCAGCCCGCGGGGCGCCGGCCTGCTTGGAGCCTGGCGAGGGCGGCGATGCGAGCGGCGGCGCGGTGAAGCGGGGCCGCGGCGGGGGAAGGAGAGGGCAGCCCCCCGGGCGGCGGGCCTGCGCTAGCCGTGCCCCGGCGGCGGCGGAGAGAAACCGGGCTGCGCGGCGTCCCTGCTGCCGCCTCCTCCCCGCCCGCCCTGCGCTCACCCCCTCCCCCCCAGAGCCGCTCCCTCGCCGCCTCCCTTCCCTCGGCTCCATCCCTTCCCCCGGCTGCATCTCCTCCCCGCTGGATGAGGCGCCCCCCTCCCCGCTGCTGACCCCCGCGGACCCCGGCTGTAGGATGAGCCCGCGGGACTCGGAGGGGGCGAGGCCGCTCCGCTCCCCGAGGAGGATCTAGTGGGGGGGCACCGACGCGACGCCGCCCCCCCGCCAGGCACCTTGTCCTTCATGGTGGCTCCCTGCGACCACCATCTCGGAGCAGACGCGCAGCCCAGGGCCCGTGTGTGTGTCTGTGCGCGCCGCCGCCGCGGCCGCCCGAGTGAGGGAAAATGTCCACTCGGACTCCATTGCCCACGGTGAACGAGCGCGACACGGAGAACGTGAGTACCGCGGCCGCCGGGGACCCTCCGCACCGCACCGCACCCCGCCCGGCCCCGCACCGCGCCCGCCCGGCCGGGGGGGGGATCGCCCGACGGGGCGCTGTCATGGACCTCCCGCCGCTTGTGCCCTGCCCAGATCACCGATGTATTCGGAATCGATTATTTTTTAACCCCTTTCACAGCGCGGTTCGCATGTTCCGTGGCATTTGCGGGCATCCCTTCCCTCCCCCCCTCCCCCCCCGCCCCAACCCCGGTGTCCCCTCTTTAATTCCCCTTCTGCTATTCGAGTATCTCCGGGTGGCGGGGATCGGGTTGGTTATGTCGGTGAGGGGGATCGGCTGTGGGGAGGGGGGTTCTGGGGGGCTGCTGCCTTCGCCTAATATGCAAACTTGCTGCTAAAGCAGCCGAATAAACCTCTGGTAAACAGATGGGAATAATTCAGCTCGGGTAGGGGTGGGCTAGGTGACCTAGATAATAGGCCTCTTCCCTGCTTAATTTGCAGGGTTCTCGGTGATAATGACGCTGTTAGGCTAGTCACCTGTTCAGATGACATTAAAAGGGTTTCTTTATTGGAATTACCCTCCGCACAAGGGAGCCTTTTCCTTCCCTCCCCCCTCTCCCGTTTTTTTGTTTGGTGGTGTTTTTTGGGTTTTTTTACCTTGACAAAGCTAAGGTTTAGGAATTGACACTTTATTTACGAGATTAAATCAGACAGTGTATTAACAATCACAAAGGTCGTATGCTAAAGAAAGGAAAAAAAAAATTAGTCCTACCACATGAGCATATAGCCACAAACGGAGCTTGGTAAGGAGACTCCCTTTCTGCAGATAGGAACTGTATTTCTTCCAAGTTAAAACTTACTTGATCCTGGTGTATCCTGTCTAACCATTTTTTCTGCATAGGCTCTGACATGTCCCCAAATGATAAACAGAAGGGAGTTGTCACTCACTGTAGTCTAAAATGAGTAGATTGGTGAACTTTGTGTTTGGCTTTCTGTAAAGGCTATGTGATATTCTTCACAAGGCAGATGCTAAGCTTGACAGAGGAGGCTTTTTATTTTTTATTTTTTTTTTTGGACAGGTTTCTTATGTTTTGGACTGGCATAAAAGGTGGAAACTTTGGTTAAAGATCAGGAAAAACTGTTGGATTGTTCCAGACCATAAATAGTCCAAGAAAAGTGATGGTAGCCCCATTGTTTAAAACAAGACCAGACAAAGCGTTAGAAAACATGCTGCATGGAACAATTACTGCATTACTAGGGATTTAGATTTTATTGACATAATAGGCACTTCTAACTTCTGTGATCTTTATTTGTTTTAGCACTACATGCAACCTGCAGGCTAAGGGCTGTATTGAGCAAAAAGCCAACTAAGCATATTTGGTTGTAAAATCTCAATGAGCTTCCTGTCATGTGGAAGAAAATAATTAAAATATTATGCGGCCCTTCCTATGCCATGGGGAGAGTTGAAGTTGAAACATACTCTACAAAATACTATATAGAGTTTATTTGGATAATTGTTTTAGTCTGTAAGCAGACCTGACTGAGGTTTTCGAGCTCCATGTGAGTGTGTGGAGGCCACACAGTAAATCATTTTAGAAAGCGTTCCAATGAGATTCCCCGGTTAATTCGAACTCTAGTGTAGATAATCTAATGGTGGAAAGACTTAATATGTGCTTGAGGAAACATAATTATTCACAAGCTGTGTGTTCTAGCACTTGAAGTTAGATTTTTACATGTCTTCCACTTAAGGCACCTTATTCTCACTTCAGAATATTGGTCTAACACTTCTCTTCAGTAATCTTCATAATTTAACATCCATGGATTGTGTTACTTGCAGATGAACTGCCTTGGTTTAGGTTAAGGCATATTTTTCAAGTGCTGTAATCTGTGCTGGTGACCACAGAAATACCTGTAGGTAGTGATATTGACAGGGAGTGATTAATCTGAGTACTCAACAAATCCATTGAACCAAGGCCCCTAATACAATAGCATATTCCTCAGGAAGCTCTCTCAGATATCGTGGGCATCAGCTATCTAGAAATTTTCTAAACCATGTGCTGTTCAGTCTTGCTTAAAACTAAGTTTAAATGTGACATTTAGTCTGTCTGAATTACCCCTACGGCTGTGAACAGGCCAGGTCTCTTCTGATACCAAATGTGATGACTTTGGTACTTCAGCTAACTGTTCATCCACCCCAAATCTGAGCGTGTTGTGTTGGCAGGTAAATTGAGCCCTTGATTCTCCTTCACATAAGAGAGGTCTAATTAGTTAATATTTAGAGGACTCTTTGAAGAGGCTTAGGAGGTGCTAAGGTATTCAGCTAGCCTTTGGGCCATGGTTGCAGACCCCATTTACTGCCTTCTCTCTGCTTGGAAGGCTACCACTGCTGACAAAGGCTTGGCTGGTGTTGGATCTGATTGAAGCATGCTGATCATAGCTTATCCATGCCTATACTTGCAATTTTGAAAATGAAGTTAGCCTCCAGAATGACAGTGAGCGTAAATTATCATTGTCTGTGCTTGCAGTTAACCACGTTCAGCAGTTGGCAACTCCTGTTGAATAAGAAAGGTCTAATTGTCAGTACTCGGTGTTTCGGTTTTTTTTTTTTTTTTTT